TTTATTTTATAGTAAGTTATGGATATACATATGAATAGAATCTTTTAACTTAAATTCATTATTTAAATTAGACCACAAGTTCATAACTATTTATTTATTGCAATCTAACGGATATCAGACAAAAGTAGAAAAAATTATTCAATTTAAAATGTAATAAATAAAAAGAAATGTAAGTTAAGAGTACATGGAGGATTCCAAAAAATCAGGGGGGTTAGGAAATCCTGGGGAACCAATGTTAAATACCCCGAAATAACCTGACATGATTGAAGGCAAGTCAGCATGTAGTGATCACTTTAAAATTTCAACTTAAATTAAACGAAATTCACATTTAGAAAATTTATTAAATTAATGGATATTTTAAACTTCTTTTTTTTTTTTTTAATTTACTTCAAGTCTTCACTAATTAATTTTACTCCCTTCTTTATAACTATTATATAGTTAAAATATATTTAATAACATATTTTCTTATCATTCAATTTGCTTCTATATATATTGTGTTTTCATTAATTGAGAGATCATAATTCATAATTATAATTACATTATTATAAACAATTTAATTTATTAGAATCAACGTTATAAGAACACTAGGTTGAGGTTGAATTGACCATTTGGTAGATAAACCAAAAGTAACATGACACATTATTGTTACAATGTTATCTCTACTTCAAAAGAACTCAATATATTGCAAGTCTTTAGTATTTTAATAAAGTGAAGATTGTAAGAAGGTGGAAAACAATGTCTATCAAGTCCCACAACTGCTAATAAGGATGGTCATTAGAGCTCTTCCTGACCAATAGTTCTAAGATTCCGAGGATTAGTTGAGGTGGCTTGCATTGGTTCGAACACTCTCGATTATAAAATAAAAAAACAATGTCTTAAAATCAATAGTCAATAACTTTTCATATGTGGTTTTAGCTAGTCACTAGACCAACACTTTGGACAACCCTAGTAGTTTAAGCTTAGTGTATCATCACAAATTTTGTTTTGTTATATAATACTAAATGTATTTCAAACTTAGATTTCTTACCATATTGAGACTCTTGAGAAAATTATCGTCTTCGTTGTCATCTCTCCCCAAAGGAATGCTAATGGGTAGGGTTTAGTATATGTATTTTTATTCTCCTAAGCCAACAAAAAACATGAAAGAACAGACACATTTCAGATGTATCATGAATCTATTATTTTTCCAAACTACTTTCTGTTGAAACTTCGTATTCACATATAAGAATTTGTTCCTTTTTTTTTTGTAATTCATTTGAGTTTAGTTCAAAGTTTGACAATTGTTTGCTAAGATCCAGAAAATCGTCCCAAGTTTGTTTTACTTTTTTGGTTATCTTTGAAACAATCTAGAGTAATACAAAATCAAGGCAGAAAGCACACACAAATAACAATCCAGTAAAGAGAAGATATATGCACGATATACCGTACTCAGCCAATTGACAGACTACCCCAGCAGAGTAAATATGGTTGAAATACTATCTCACCTCTCTCGTTACAATGAAGAGGGTCGTCTCAAGTACATTTGTGACTCTAGACAATAGTTACTTTAGAGACCTTCTAATAATATAAACATATATTGAAAAAATTATTTCAAATTTATTTTTCTTACCTTTTGAGATGAAAATCACTAGGAAGATGGACGACGACCGACAGCTAACGGGGTCAGGTTGGGGGGTTTTTGGAGAGCATGTTGGAGAGCGATGGTTGGTGAAATGAGTAATTTCCAATGCTAGGATTGACCGAAAAGGCTTTAGAAGTCGCGGCCCAAAAGGTATCGGTGGCCCGCAATTGGCAGAGTAAACAATGAGGTATGATAGGGTTTTGTGAGGGGCTAGAGTGGAAGATGGTGTGTCGAGGAAGGCAACACGCCGGGTACATGCCGAAAGGCCAGAAATGGCTATCATGCGTGGTGGAGTTAGGTTGCGAGATTAGTAAAAATTGGTCAAATCGAGGGCTATCAAGGCTGGGAAAACACTTGGAAAATGATAAGTAATGATTCTGGTCGATTTTAGTGAGAAATCGACCGAAATCCCGAATGGTCGACGCAAAGAGGTATGAAGATGATTTGTGAATGTCAAATTTTGGGATTGAATTGAGATGAGTAATTTGATATATGTAAATGACCATTTTAGCCTTTCATTGTTAAAATATATTTATGTGTTAATTTAGGTGTAAATTAGAATATATGAACATAAAGGTATAAACTTGCTATTTCATCAAACTTGGGTAAGAATATGTAAAATGTTTATATAAATTTGAGTCTTTTTTGGCTTTCTTTTTAGGGCCTATTGGACCTACCTAGATAAAAAAAATTATACATTTTTTAATATATTAAAAAAAAATTATGAAAAAAATTGGGCCTTTTTTTACCCTATTTTTGGAGGCCCTAGTGTCACGGCTGGGAGTTTCACACCCAAAAGGCTAACCTATTAGGTGGAGGGACTCCCCCCATTTATAAGCCCAAGACCTCCCCAATACGCTTCCAATGTGGGATTTGTTACATTCTCCCCCCACCCAATCCTGTGACGCCCTCGTCACAGGTGGGGCCCCTGCCTACCCGTCCACCTCACTCTCGTGTGGACCCATAATCACACGTGGACCCCCTGCGTGGGCGCTTGATGGGACATCGAAAGACGGATTGGGTCTACTCTGTACCACTTGTAACGACCCAATTGCTTCCCTTCGGACTCGTTCGGCCTTAGGTGCTACTCTCCCGACGATTGCCCTAAGTCAGCCTTGCTTGCTCACGCTCCTAGCCCTACAATAGAAAACACTCACAACAACTCACAAGAGATGCTAGAAGAGAACTCTTTTACTAATTGAGAGAACTTTACAATTCTTGATGGTTTGGCCAAATGAAGGCCTCCCCCTTCCCCTTATTATAGTAGTTTGAGTATACAATGAACGGTCAAGATCTCTTGAGATCAACGGTGGAGATTTGCTAACTCTAAACTACCACCTACCAACTACTATCTACCAACTACCACATTAATTACAATATTCTAGCATATACAAGAGTATTCCGGAAGCTTCTTGATTGTTCTTGTGACGCACACCAAGTGTTCGATGAAATGCTTGAGAGGCGTCACACTAGGCAAGTGCCTAACCTGCCTACTCCTTGAGCTGGCCTGACAATAAAAGCAATATGTCATATGATTTGCTATCACTCACATATGAGAAAAAAAAAAAAAAGTTTATATACTAGGTTTAAAGAGTAAAACCTAATAATACAATGATTCATTTTTACTAAGCCCAAACCTAATTAAGAATTAAATTCTTAAAGAAATCCTAATTTGACAACTTCAACAACCTCTTTAGTGTCTAGGTTTATTCAGACTAAATTGTCATCCCTACTTCGTGACAAACGACAGGATTGTAGTGCACAACCACCACTAATGAATTGTGATCACTCTGCCACCGATCTACAAACCCATGGAAAGCACTTTCAAGTTCAGCAAGTGCTTTCTGAATTTGTCGTATCTTAATTTTCAAAGGTTGTAGAGTCCATGCACATTTATAGCAATTCATCAGGGTCCTCCATGACAAAAAATTTGAAGGAAAATTTAGATAATGAAATATATATCCAAAATTTATATCCCAATTGATAATTATAAAATTTACATGGGTGAGAATTTTATTTTTTTTAATGACCGAAGGTGTCCGAGCTAACTTACGCGCACGTCAACTAATCCCTCAAGACCTTGAAATTATCGACTGAGTACAAGCTCCAATCTCCAGCGGCCACCCCTATTAGCAATCGTGGGGACTCGAATTTAAGAAACCATGTTAGATCCTCCTCTTGTTTTTTTACCCTCAAGGTATTAGAGTCTTACACCGACTAGGCACGCTCAAGCCTACTGGTTTATAAGAGAGTGTAATCCTCCCATTTAACAAGGTCTTATTAGGTGAGGAGTTAGACCCACCTCAAATTCTATTATGGCATTAGAGTTAGACCTAGTTGAGCTGAGTGTTTGACCAGTGAGTGAGGAGTTAAAATCAACAACTACCTTCATCAACAAATATGACCCAACATATGGGCTTGACTGTGAGTGTGAGTGTTGAAGCTCCACATCGACTAAGCACGCTTAAGCTTACTAGTTTATAAGAGGAGTTAATCCCTCTATTCAACAAAATCTCATTGGGTGAGGAGTCAGACCCATCTCAAATTCTATCACAAGGGGACTCAAACTTGAGAGACCATATTAGATCCTTCTTTTGGGAGACCATGTTAGATTTTTATCTTGCTCTTTTACTATCAAGGAGAATCGTATTTAGGAGATCATATTAAATACTTTTTTGCTTTTTTATTATCAGACCACCTAACGGTAGAATGGTAGTTCATGGGTGAGAATTCATAATTCACTTTTTATTAATAAAGGAAGCAAACAAAAAGGGTATTTGATGATATATATATATTAAAACTTAAGGGGTTTGTATTAAGAATGAATAGTATTATTCATTTGGAAAATATTTATTGTATGTCCACTTGACTATAGCTATAATTATTGGAAGAATTAGAATTGCTGAGCATCCTGCTGCCACCTGGAATGTATTGTTTGTTACACTATAGCGTTCCTTTCCATAAAAGCCCTACTCAAGTTTCTCGTCACTTACCCATTTCCTCTCTCTTTCTCTCTCACTTGTATGAATAGTATGAACTGAGTTGCTTCCCCCTTTTTCGGAAAAAAAAATGTCTGCCAAACTCTAAAAACTAAGCTCTTTAGCAAAAGTCACCACCAACATCATCACCCTTTCAAGGTTTCTAGGATTGATCAAAACAAAGATTGCAGGAAGAAACCCATCAAAAAAAAAAAAAAAACTANTGAATAGTATTATTCATTTGGAAAATATTTATTGTATGTCCACTTGACTATAGCTATAATTATTGGAAGAATTAGAATTGCTGAGTATCCTGCTGCCACCTGGAATGTATTGTTTGTTACACTATAGCGTTCCTTTCCATAAAAGCCCTACTCAAGTTTCTCGTCACTTACCCATTTCCTCTCTCTTTCTCTCTCACTTGTATGAATAGTATGAACTGAGTTGCTTCCCCCTTTTTCGGAAAAAAAATGTCTGCCAAACTCTAAAAACTAAGCTCTTTAGCAAAAGTCACCACCAACATCATCACCCTTTCAAGGTTTCTAGGATTGATCAAAACAAAGATTGCAGGAAGAAACCCATCAAAAAAAAAAAAAAAAAAAAAACTATAGCTTAGCCCTACTATATATATATACCTTATATTAGCTATCGTTTTCCTCTTCTTCTATACAATCCTAATCTTCTTCTTTCTCCAAAGCGAAGTCCTCTCTCTCGTTTCTTTGTTATGGCATTATTGCATTATTGACTCCCAGGAGAGATTTAGCTGTGATTAAACACGTTTTGGGTATCCACGAACAGTGACAAATCAGCAGTCTTGACCTCTTTCATTCTGGAAGTAACCTAATACTGGTAAGTACTTCTCTTCTCAACTTTTTCTTTTGTTTTACTCTCGTTCTCGCTCATTTTATTAGTGATCCATGTGAATCTCAAACGAAGCCTTCTTCTGCATCTGTCATCCTTCATGAACAGTATCTTCCTCTGTCTAGTTTCAGTTCTTTCTTCATCATTTTAACCCTTCAAGCTTTAATCTTTCTCCGCTACTGTCACCTCACACCTCATAAAAACTAATACCTTCAAGGCTTCAACATAGATCAGCTGATTTTCTCTCTACTGTGCAGCTTCCTTCAAGCTTGTTGAACAAAAATCCTTCAAGATCACAAAATATGGAGTCGGTTCAAGAGTTTGATATCTCAAACACAAACACGGCAATCATAACAACTCCCACAAAAAATCCCACAGCTCTCACCATGAACACCTCCTCCACCTCAACTACAGTCTTGTCTTCACCGCCATCATCATCCTCAACTTCTTCTCCCTCCACTCTCAGCCGCTATGAGACTCAAAAGCGCCGAGACTGGAACACCTTCGGCCAGTATCTCCGCAATCACCGCCCGCCTCTTTCTCTGGACCGCTGCAGCGGGGCCCATGTCCTTGAATTTTTGAGGTACCTTGACCAGTTTGGGAAAACCAAAGTACATACCCAGCTCTGCCCCTTCTTCGGCCATCCGAACCCTCCCGCCCCCTGCCCCTGCCCACTGCGCCAGGCCTGGGGCAGCCTCGACGCGCTCATCGGCCGTCTTCGTGCCGCCTTTGAGGAGAACGGTGGCAAGCCTGAGGCGAACCCCTTTGGAGCTCGAGCAGTCAGGCTCTATCTGCGAGAAGTTCGTGATTCGCAGGCAAAAGCAAGAGGAATTAGCTATGAAAAGAAAAAGCGAAAGCGCCCCCCACCGCCCCCGTCCAGCCTCCCGTTGCCACCTTCCAGTGGAACTGCATGAATGAAAGAAGAGGTCCTAAAGATCTCACATAAATTAGCCTTTCATGGGTATGTTATCCTACATTAATTTATGTATGTTGCATGATCATCTTTCAGTATTTTTATGTCTTTCTAAATTATATTTCAAGTATGCTTATTAATTAGATTGGGAGATATTACCACTGCTATTGGCATTGTAGATGCCATTTTCTTTGATGAAAACAGTAATGGTGGTGGTTTATCTATCGGTAGAAGTTGTAATAGTTGCAGTACTATTAAGATGTTTATGACTTAAACATCCAATACCTTGAAATGTACCTTGAAAAGCCATTTATGACGAGTAATAGATTTGCGGATCATGTTGTGTGTCCTTTTTTGATAATATTTATTATTACATTACAGTTTATAAAATATAGATCATTCAGGTATTAATTAAAAGGAAGAGTATGCAAGATATCATCACTCAGATTTGTCAATTACTATTCTTGCTTATTTTTAGTATCATCTATGTAGGTCTCTTTTACTTTACTCCTTTTTGTCTTCCTGTCGTCACTGCTTTTCATCCACTGTTGAGATTATATGTATATTACAAAACTTTTTATGGATATAGAGTGAAGAAAGAGAACTAAGCCCTGAAAATGCTGACGTTCTACCAGTAACTTAACATTGAAATGGAGTTTCTGCAATGGCATACTCATTTGAGTGAAAGAAGAGATTGTATTTTGACATAAATGTGGCAGTTTTGGTTGAGTTTTAGCTTCAACTTAGTCATCAGTCAACTAAGTAATAATAGCTTGAGTCTTTGTCTTGAATGATTCATATTGGTCTCATTCTATTATCTAAGTCCACGTCCCATTTCTCCATTGTGTCATATCAGTCTTGGATGTTTCCCAATGAGGGGATATCATTAAATAAGTGAACGACCATGAATATGATAACATGAACCTCTAATAAACAGTGCCATCCTGCAAGCTTTCCACTAAACGCATTAGATGTTGGGAAGAAGTCAAGCACTATCTAAGACCACAAATTTGTGATTTAACACCCAATCTACTAAACAAATATTAGCTACCGACAGCCAACAAAATTGCCTCCCATGCCTTGCTCGTTGCTCATTTGCTAGGATATTTAGACATGTTATTAATTTCTGATTTAACAAGAAATCTATCTTATAAGACATATTTGCTTCACATTCTTGGCTGAGTAGTGTTGACTTTTCTTCTTTTCCTTTAAATGCATTAATTTTAGACTAATATTGTTATAATTTTGATGCTAGATGTGATCTTCTTTTCCAAGTGTATGAATGTATGTTGTTTTTCTTTGTTGGGTAACTGGCTGTGCCTTGTGATTTAATAGACATAGCAACTACCACAACAATATGTCAAATAATTAAGGATCTATTTTCTTTTGGTTGATGTAGGATTACATCAAGATGTTTCCATATCTGAATTAATGGACCGATTAAAAATAGAAATAAATTATTCATTATGCTATCATATTAATTTTAAATTGCTTATTGGTAGTGGGCTGACTCCACCAATCAATTATATTTGTATGTCTATTACAAGGGGCTATTATTTTATCAAATTCGGTTTTTATACTATATTATATATTTATGATGGTGAGGGGGCCGCGTTGATACTGGATCTTCCTTTTGTAATAATTTCTTGGCAAATAATTAGGGGCTAGAATCAACCGAGAATGATAATAAAATCATTAAAATTCTTGTCTGTCAGGAAATTACAATTCCAGTGTTAGGTTATATTCTTTTGCGTGGATGCCTCTTTCATTGATGGAAACGCTAATTGTGGGAAATCGAACAAAACTTAATTAGGCTCTCTAATACTCTCAATGGTACTTAAATTCTATGTATTTGTGGATTAAAATGTTCGACCGAGAATATGGAATGTGTTTATTAGGTACCATTCCTTCAGATAATGTTTCACATATAGACCATGTAGCGTTTATTGGTATATGCTTCATCAGATTGCCTGGAAACACTAAATATAGCCAATGATCATAAGGTTATTTATATTAACAAATGGGGAGTCTTGTTGAAAAAATTTGCACCTCAGGAATTGTTTGATCAATAGAAGTTCAAATTACTTCTATATAGTTGAATGCGAACTCATTGTCTTGACCAAAACATGATTTATTCGAACTTTTAACAGGTTGAAAGAGAACATCTAGGAAGCTAACTTATAGGAGCTACTTTGTACCTAACAGGAGAATTTGATTACAAGCAAAGCTATCGGAAATATTTTTGCCTTATAGCTTTATACAGTTTTAAGTTCATCAGATCATTTACGACTTCACTTCAATCATTTTGGCATTCAAACTCCATGAAAATTAGTACCATAAAATTAAAGATCTGATATAAGACTATTGTAATTTGAAGTAATAAACTACGCTGAATCCTTTTGTTTTAGGAGTTTTCTCCTAGATTATAGGTTGAAGCTTGAAGGCCGTACATAGTTAGTAATTGAATTGCCTAAAAACCTCCATGACATGTGATGACCTACTTACATAGTGTATGTTATTAATTTAAAATAAAAGCTTATGGATATGTCCATGTGAATTTCCCTATTAGGAAACTAAAGTCCTTTGCTGATCATGGTATCATAATATCGTAATCAAGACTTTTAATTTATTTGGGAACGTTAATAGTATTGTCCAAGGTGTACATATTTATTTGGGAACAGACAAGAACCATTGCAAACAAAACTTATTACAAACTGATTAACTGTCATGTGAAAAAAAAAGTTTTTAAAATTAAATTATGAGCCCATCTTTTCCAAGTTAATAATTAATCCTAAATTCTCCTTTCATTTTTTCTTAGTGTACCTCGTAGAGACATGCACACTTATTCAGAAGCATTAATTATTCGTAGATAAATTATATTTCACATTTATCTTGAGGCTTCTAACTAATTTTTAGGTGATCAGAGGTCATTGGGTCCCTAGTTTTTGTCTTTTGTCTGTTTGTTATCCTGTATGCCTGAAACTAAATATTTATAATAATAATAGAGCAAATTAAATCTGACTCGACCTGGTGTACTTTGGGGAGATATTTTCTATTGATTTACTGTCATTAGGTTGTACCCGAGAAAAAAGATGCTTCAGACTTACGTTTCGTAGGAGAGTGGTAAAACTCTTTTCTTATCACATTGTTCATCTTTATTTGATAGTATTCATCTGTTCATCGTCTACAAATTTGTCCAATAAAATGGTGAGAAGTTGAGAAAACGAGCCAATGTAGTATTTATTATAAATTATACATAACTTGTGTATTCATTATTCTTTTGTCTTTATATCACTTCTGTCGTATGCGTCTTTTCTTTCGATATTAGGTTGATTATTTGACTTTCATTTACACAAATATATATATTGTGTATCACATGTGTTTATTAAAAAAAGGGTCAGTAGTGAAAATCAGTAAAACCATTAAATGTCGGATCATACACAGTTCATAGCTTGATAAAGTCTCAAAACCGTACAACTGAATAATGTTTGTTTGACATTACTCATCTAGAGGCTGCCAGGCAGTGTGTGGATGGGCAAAGGGCAGTTGTGCTTCAAGCAGCAAATGATATATACATGTTTTTCAGATCTCGCGTTTTTTTCGAAGGGCTCCCTTAAATTGCGTATATCTTAATTATTTTTTTTTTTCAAGTAAATGTAATTCTCTTCTTTTGTTATGGCGTATTTTTAATTTTAATATTATTAACATACTTTTATATATGAAAAATGTTAGCCTTATTCATTCTTTTTACTCACTTCTCTTACTCACCTTTGTTAAAATGACATATGATATCCGTATTATGCTTATAATACCCATACTATGTTTTGTATTTACAAAGATGAGTAAGAGAAGTGAGTAAGAAGATTGAGTAAGACTAGCATTACTCTTTATATATTACCTAATTTTTTTTAGGTGTAATACTAACTTTGTATATATTTCAAGGGTCAAGTGATAAATACTTGGAGATGTAATTAGTGATTTAATTTATCAACTCGGTTCAAACATTATTTAGGATACAATTATACAAAGAGTTGAGATCACAATGTGTTAGAAGAGATCACTTGTCAAATTAGTAATAACATCACAAGATAAACAATGTTTAAAAATAAATTATATACGATAATTGAACATATTTTGGCATTATTTGTTTATGTTCACGGATGAGAGTGAAACCACTAACAAATAACGTTATACAATGGTATCAGCACCACATAACCCAATACTAACAGAGTACAAATTAACACTACATAATTCAATACTAACCGAGCCCAAAACTTGATGTTTAAACCACTCTCATATTATACTTTCGTGTAACCTATTTTATTCTCATAACTAGAATTGGGTGTTGGTTTTAACCAAAAGAGATATTTTATAATATATACATATTCCATGTTAGATGTAGAGATGTATCATTGTTTATAGTACTCATAATTATGTAGAGATATTTTAGTCCTATAGAGACTCATAATTTTATTTTTAGTAAGATTCATATTCCTTATAAGAGTGTATCCAAAGTAATTTTGAATTTAAAAGGAAAACAACTTATTAAGAAAATGAACCAAAGCATTTCAACAATCTCCACCTTAATGAGTATTCCACCAAAGCAATAATATGGCGCCATCAAAGCATCAATATTGTAGTAGCAAATTTCGCCACCAAAATGATTAACTAAGAACCACTCCACCTATAACTTTGAAAGTCATTGTAGCTCATCTCTTTTATGTACCAAATCTCAAAACAATTCAACCACAGTTTCCAATTTGAAGCCCTATCCATTATTAGGAGATCACTCACAAAAGAAATTGTTAAGAGATCACTCACAAAAGAAATAATAAACAACGAGTTAAATAATGTATGAAAATAAATCATACATCACAAAAGACATGATAATTTAACATGGTTAAGCAATATAACTGGCCCACATCCACAAATGACATTAACACACATATACAATAGTACAATTGCACACTGCATAACCTTCCATAACGTGGTACAAAGTACAAACATACATACATATCCCTACCTCTACCTGACCTAACATCTACTCGTATAAGACCCAATTTTACTTTTCAAATATTATTTTAAAAGTATCATAAAAAGAACCAGTGCCACCCTATAGTATTTTATACTAATTTTATCTAAACAACACATGCCTCCCTGAGGTTTCATGGGAAGCACTTACCCCCCATTTAAAAATATATATATATTTATTTATTTATTTTATAGTAAGTTATGGATATACATAATGAAATAGATCTTTTAACTTAAATTCATTATAAATTAGACCACAAG